TTTTTTCGAACTCCTGACCTGGAGCAATCCGCCTGCCTCAAGTCCCCAGTATTGCTAGGATTACAGGCATGAAGCCACCGCGCCGGCAACTGCAACCTCTCTGTTTCCCTCCCAGTAATTGGGAAGAAAAGCTGTAGAGTCCCGGCCCATTTTGTTCTAATCATGTGGGTGTTGGATCCCATCGCAACAAGACACATCCAGCAGACTATCCATAGACCCAAGCTCACGATGGTTACTCATTGCATGAAAAAAGACACATCATGAGAGTCCAAGGGTTTAAGGAAGCTCTATGCCAGGAAATGGGATTAAAATAAAAATATATTTATTTATATCACAACATCAACACTATAATACCCTAGTGTTTGTCAAACACAGTCTAGATGTTGCTGTTCAATTTTTTAGCATGGATCAACATCAATCAGTATGACTTTGATAAAGCATAGTACCCTCCACCGAATATTGGCGGGCCCTCCATCTAGTTGAAGGCTAACACCTCACCCTGGGTCTCCAGTCTGCCCACCTGCCTGCTTACCCTCTGTGTATTAATAACACTCTATTGGTTCTCTTTCTCTGGAGAACCTCTAATACATGAATAAGCCCTACATGACAAAAGCTACTTTTACAACTGGTTAAAAATCTGTTTAATACTAGCAGAAACATAGTATATCTTGTGCTTGTGGAGAGCTCCTAAATAAGACAAAAATAAAACATACTGATCAGTTGATGTACATTCATAATTAAGAACTGCTTACTGTGAAAAGGATATTAAATAAACAAATTAGGCCGGGCGCGGTGGCTCACGCTGTAATGCCTAGCACTCTGGAGCCGAGCGGGGCGATTGCTCAAGTCGGAGTTCAAACCAGCCTGCAGCGAGACCCCGTCTCTACTATAAAAAATAGAAAGAAATTAATTGCACTTAAATACTTATATATAAAAAATTAGCCGGCCGATGGTGGCTCATGCCTATGAGTCCCAGAACGTCGGGATGCTGAGCAGTAGGATATGCTTAAGCGAGAGTTTGAGGGTTGCTGTGAGCCTAGGCTGACGCGCACGCACTCACTCTGCTAGGCAAGAAAAGCGAGACTCTGTCTCAAAATAAATAAATAAAGAAATAAAAATAAAATCAAAATAAACCAATACATTCGAGAAATGGACAATGTTTTCAAAATTTTATTCATTCTGCCCGTCTCCTCAGTTTTTGTACCCATGTTTTCATACTTTACAATTTTTTCATACTTTGCAATTTTTTCCTTTCCTTGAGGAATGTTCTGGTTATTGTCCATCCTTTTCTGCCTACAGTACCTCTTTTATGTAGCGTAAGTCTGGGCAGAGGAGCCATCTGTGCTCTTCGAATAATATCCACTTCACCACATGTATTGTCATATTACATTTATTGCATTTCTCTTTCACCAATCCAGAAACTATTCTAAGATATCCTGCAAAGAGCTGCAGCTCGAATTGAACCAATATTCAAGTGAAATAGTTAAAGAAGCGTGTTCAACAATCCTTAACATGAGTCTCAGTTTTAAATAACACACTGAGAGCAAATCTACACACAATATGCGAACTTTTATTTTTAACGTCGATTTCTCGCTACATCAGGAGTTGACAGTTAGATACTTTTACAATGGAACCTGAGTTTACTAGAAGAAATAATGACAAACCAAACCTAGCAACAGATGTAAACTCCATAGAGTTTATCCTTCAAATCCAGCCACGAAGTTTGTTAACAATCGCTTTCAGCTTGCATCTTGACTCTTCTGATGATCTTTGTCCATCAGCCTCTATTGGAAAACAAAAGCAGATCATCAGTTCTGATCTAGACAGAATCTCAATGACTAGCCTAACCACAGAACTGAAAAGAATTTTAGCCTGAGCGAGAAGGAGACCCATCTCTACTAAAAATAGAAAAAATAACCTTGGTTGTTTTCAAAATAAAACAGAGGCAACAGAGCAAGACTGTGTCTCCAAAAAAAAAGAATTTTAACAAGACTTGTATCTTAAAACATAACTTTACAAAAAGAGGACATTAATTATGTTCATACTTGATAGTGCTCAACAGGCTTTGGTGCTGGCTGACAACATGAGACAAGAAAGCGTTCTCAAACTTTGTGATCTTGCTGGGCTCCAATTTATCAAGATATCCTTTTACACCTGCATAGATAACAGACCTTGTTCTTCAATAGCCATGGGAGCGAAAAGAAACAAAACAATGCCAATGAGTTGCTCAAACAAATAAAAGCCACTTAACTAAAGTCAGAGAAATTACTCCCCCCCATTATTAACATGTTTCTATATATTAATACCACCCACGCTTCACATTATGAGCAACTTAGAACTCCAATAATACCTCCCACCTCTCTCCAGGAACAGTCCTTACTCTATTTGCAAACCCTGAAGTGTAATCTTTGGGCATAGTCCATAAGCTCTATTTATCTGGCAGTGTTTATATTGTTTGGGGGGTATAAACAGTTTGCTGAAATTATTTGGCAAGGTAAAAATACACTAACATTCTTTTAAATCTGCCAAATTTCACACTCCTTTAGCAAAGGGGCAGAGGACAATAATAGGTCTCAATTCCTGATAAGAAGGTATTAAATATACTAAGTTTCCCAGTTAAGTCCATTGTATTGACATTCAAAATGTGCTAAGAACTGTACTCTTGGGTAAGTACAATGGGCATTAATTACATCTAAAAGCATGACCCTGATGAAAGGAACAGCAGGTATTAAAGTCTGAGTGTGACATAGCTCTGCAGACCTGATGAGACCCTAACACAGTAGGAACTTGGGCAAATGAAGAAAAGAACTCACAATATTGTCCTTGCTTCAGCAACTCAGTCAAACGCACACCACGACTCAAGAGTTGTTGAGTGGCAGCATCGAGGTCAGAACCGAACTGGGCAAAAGCAGCAACCTCACGATACTGAGCCAATTCCAGCTTCATGGTACCTGCCACCTGCAATATAAACATTATTGGGACTGTAACTCAGTGACACAGAGCACTACTCAAATATAATCTTTAAGATGTATATCAAATGATATCCTCCTTCCTACCAAAGTGACGCCAAATTACCTGCTTCATAGCCCTGGTTTGGGCAGCAGATCCGACACGAGACACAGACAAACCAACATTAATGGCAGGACGGATACCCTTGTAGAACAATTCTGTTTCCAAGAAGATCTATAATGTAAGGGGATATGTTAGCAAGCTTAAAATAAGAAATTAATTATTTTCAAATTTAAGTCACTATGCCAAAACGCTGAAACCCCAAACCTAAGGAAGAATGTGAAGTGTCAATCCCCTAAATCTTTCACAACCCAAATTGACTTATATATCCTATTGCCAATGAAGAGGTATGTATGAGATGAGAAAACAACATGTAACTTAATTTATATTGTAATATATGCAGGTGAAATGATATGATCTCTGGAATTTGCTTCAAAACTATCAAGCAAGAAAGAACAGTAATTAGCATAAATGAAACACAAATGAAGTGCACTATTTCATAAAATGTTAATTGGGTGACAGATATGGGGGGTTTCATTATACTATTCTCATTAGTTTTGTATACATTTGGAGTTTTCCATAATAAAAATAAAAGGCATTTAACAAATCAGTTAATAACTACTAGTCTCAACCAATGCCTTGGAATTATCCAAACCTTTTTTTTACACCTAATCATTAAAAAAGTACCTGTCCATCTGTGATGGAAATGACATTTGTTGGAATGTAAGCAGACACATCACCAGCCTGTGTTTCTATGACTGGTAAAGCAGTCAAGGAGCCACCACCAAAAGCATCGTTCATCTTGGCTGCTCTCTCCAGCAACCGGGAGTGCAGGTAGAACACATCACCAGGATAGGCCTCACGACCAGGGGGTCGGCGGAGCAACAGAGACATCTGGCGGTAAGCAACAGCCTATGGTACAGAAAAGGGTTGTTAAATTCATCTACTAAGCAGGAGCTGCATCTGTGAACTTTCATCACAGCGTAAACAGATTATAAAAATGTATTTCCTTTGACCTGTTTGGATAAGTCGTCATAGATGATCAAAGCATGTTTGCCATTATCTCTAAAATACTCTCCCATGGAACAGCCAGAGTAAGGAGCCAGGTACTGAAGTGGGGCAGCATCAGAAGCTGTAGCTGACACCACAATAGTGTACTTCATGGCATCTGAGGAGAAAACATATTTTAAGTTTTACAAAGTTATCAGTATTATGATTTTAGAGGCTACTATAATTAAAATTTACCCAAGTACTAAAAAGATCTACTACTAAGAATTATTAACCAGAGTCAAATAGCTTCCGCTTTAAAGAAAACTGCCAAAACCTTTATATGTATTGGTGTTTTATATTATTTTTTACTTTTGTTTTTCTTATTGATTTATATTAGAAAGTTCAGCTCATTAGAGAGTAATGAAAATCAGTCTTGATTTAGCAGAAGCTGTTCTAAGATGAACAGCAATAGGACTTGAGATAATAGCCTGGGACTTAAGTTCTTTAATACCTGCATCTGTAAGTCTCTTCACCAACTGAGCAACGGTGGACCTCTTCTGACCAATAGCAACATAGATACAGTACAGCTTCTTCTTTTCATCAGTTCCATCATTGAATCGTTTCTGGTTAATGATTGTGTCAATAGCAATTGAAGTTTTACTTTAAAAAGAGAAAGTAAATATAAATCTTCCTAAATACTACAAAGGATTTCCCAGATAAAATTTCACTACTATTGATAACACATTCTACTGTCCCCATTATATCCAAAGCATTTACCATTACAAGACTAAAAAATAATCTTTCTATAGACCAAATTTTAGTTAGAACTTTTAACATGCTTGGGTCTTTACCCAGTCTGTCTGTCACCAATGATCAGCTCACGCTGACCACGACCAATTGGCACCAAGCTATCCACAGCCTTAATGCCAGTCTGCATTGGTTCCCGCACAGAGATTCGAGGAATGATTCCAGGGGCTTTCAGGCCAACTCGCCTACGGGTCTTAGAACCAACTGGACCCTGTAAAAGAAAAAAATAAAAAGGAACTCTCGGAATAACCAGTTTTAATGTTTGTTAGAAGCTACAACCACCTCTAATAAACATTAAACCTACCTTTCCATCAATGGCATTACCAAGGGCATCTACTACACGACCCAACAGCTCCTCACCGACTGGAACATCCACAATGGCTCCTGTCCTCTTCACAATATCTCCTTCCTTAATTAGTTTATCATTGCCAAACACGACAACACCAACATTGTCAGGTTCCAAGTTCAGAGACATACCCTGCACAAAAGACACAATTGAACACCAATGAAGCTAGAGGGAAACTCCTCCCAATACACCAATACTGCAAGACAAGAAAATAGCCCGGAGAAGGGAGGAATTGTCCTTTTCATCTGGTTTATTCCACAGTATTTTTCCACCTAACAAACAACCTTCTTTGGTCAGGACTTACTTAAAATAGCAACATGTTCCCTTCAATAATCTTACCATTATGATAAGCCTAACATGCTATTACATCCCCAAAGAATTGAAAGCAGCAAAGAAATCAGCTCTTGAGCTGAGTGATCAGTATGAAATAAAGTGTTCAGGAATTATCTAATCAGAACCTACATAAGAGAAGGGGAGAAAAAAATTAAAAAAAGAAAAAAATATAAAAAGAAACTACATTCCTCAGGTTAGTAAAAAGTGAAACTGAAAGCTACTCTTATTATTGTAGCCATCAAGAACAAATTTTCCTAACAGCAACAAGTCATCTCTAATCATTACAACCTTATTTTAGCTCCCTAAATCGTATCTGATGCAAAAAGACTGTTACAGTGCAACAGAGTCTACAGTAATGAAAGCTCTGGGGAATTCACAGCTTTGGAAGGGGAAAAAAAAAAAAAAAAGCTCTAGGGAAGTGCTTACAATAAATACAGAATATCACTGCAGGTTCAAAAACGTTAGTCAGTATCCCTAATGTTTAATATAGTATCCACCAACCAAATGTGTCTATTTAAATTTAAATGTCCAGTTTAAAATATTAAAATTCACTTCCTCAGTCACACTAGCCACATTTTACATGCTTGATAGTGACATATGTATAGTTGGTATCATATTAAACAGCACAGACATGGCTCATGCCTGTAATATTAGCACTCTGGGAGGTGAGAGGATTGTTCAAGGTCAGGAGTTCGAAACCAGCCTGAGCAAGAGTGAGACCCTGTCTCTACTAAAAATAGAAAGAAAATTAATTGGGCAACTAAAATATATAGAAAAAATTAGCTGGCCATGGTGGTGAATGCCTGTAGTCCCAGCTACTCGGGAGGCTGAGGCAGAAGGATGGCTTGAGCCCAGGAGTTTGAGGTTGCTGTGAGCTAGGCTGATGCCACAGCACTCTAGCCTAGGCAATACAGTGAGACTCTGTCTCAAAATAAATAAATAAATAAATAGCACAGACAGAGTATTTTCATCACTGCAGAAAGTTCTATTTGACAGTATTGTTCTAGATATTTGGAACATAAAAGCTAAAAGGCAACTCAAGAGTTCTTCTATTTCATCCTCACCTTTCAAAGATTATACTGTACATTGAAGATAAGAGAGGTTAAACTTTTGGCCAAGGTCTTACAACTAATGATAACTTTGGAATCTATAATTAGTCTTCCATATCAAGTGTTTCTTTTTCCATACTGCATACTAGCAAGAGGATCAAGATTATCTTGTCCCATATCTGTGTGTTTAGTAGGTAGTCCTACTGCCCCTGGTCCAATATTATCTTCTGCTTTCCTCAGAGAGCCCAAGATTCCAACAACTTTTATTTCTCATCCCACTGGCTAACTAGGCTCAACCCAATAGAAAGAAGTGGACTTGTGTCATTAGACAGCCTCTGATAGCTATACCACTAACTCATCTCTCAACCAATAAGTGGTCTGCTCTTACTAGAAACACAAAGTCACTGACTTTCAACAAGAAATGAATTTAGTTTAAGTTATCTTAACAGCTACAATGAATACTTGAACTTCTTGTAATGTGAGTGAAAGTTTACTCAATTTTGTATTTTGGAACCAGTTGCTACAACTTAAGTATAAATCACTTCCCAGGGTAAAAAACCTAGCTAACCAAAATTCTTAAGTTTATTCTCTTTACAATCTATAATGACAAGAAAAAAAAGCTCGGCAAAATTGAGGCTTAAAAGTTTTTTAAAAATCTGACATAATCTCTGAATTGCTAAATCAACTAAGAAGACACAGATATGAAAACACCAAAACTTCATTTTATAATTTACCTTTAAGCCCGAAGAAAATTCTACCATTTCTTCTGCTTGAACATTCCGCAGCCCATGTACACGGGCAATACCATCACCAATGCTTAAGACACGCCCAGTCTCTTCAAGGTCAACAGAGGTATCAGCCCCAAGAATACGCTCTTCAAGAATAGAAGACATCTCAGCAGCGCCTATTGAGGACAATTCAATTTAAAAAACAAACTGTTAACAAAGTTTAAGTATCTTTCCCTTTAAAGGTTACCAGTACTGGCCGCGGTGAGTGCTCACGCCTGTAATCTAGCACTCTGGTGAGGCAACGATGAAGATTGCTTGAGTCAGGAGTTCGAGATCCCCTCTTACTAAAAATAGAAAAAATTAGCCAGGCGTGGTGGGACATGCCTATAGTCCAACTACCTGGGAGGCTGAGGAAGAGATAGCTTGGAGCCCAGGATTTGTGAAGTTGCTGTGAGCTGGCTGATGGCCACTGCATTCTAGCCCGGGCAATAGAAGACTCTGTCTCAAAATAAATGAATTAAATTAAAAAAAAAAAAACCATCCATCTCTTAAAGGAAAAAAAAAAGGTCCCAGGTACTACTTTTCATCTAGCATGTGGGCAATATATACTGTGCTTTGTGGTGCATGTGTGTGTATACATAAATACAAACATATATTTAACCTTCTGTTAAAAGCCCCAGTACACCCTCAAAAGAAATTCCCCAACCTATAGAATCGCCTATGCTCACCTTCCCACCTTCACTATCACATCTAAATTCACAGATTATCAAACATAGAGTAGCAGCTATTGCCTTTTTTAAAAAACCTATCAGTATGAATACTTTTTCTATGCTTTGTAGGAGGAAAAAGATCTTTCAGAGGTCAAAAAGATTCCATATCTAGTATGTATACTTTGCTCCACCCAAGGGCATTATCAGAAGAAGCTGTTTAATATCAAAAAGAGAAATTATACTATAGCTCATCACTAGAATAAGTAACCTACCGAGACAGGGCTAAATGGCACATTATGGTTTAAGAACTGAGATTCTGTAGCAACTAAAAATGAAGAAAAATTAAACAAGTATGAAACAACCCACAACAAATTATAAAAGACATAATTTTTCTTATTTATAAGTTATTAGGCCGGCGCAGTGGCTCACGCCTGTAATCCTAACACTCTGAGAAGCGACGCGGGTGAGTTGCTTGAGGTCAGAGTTCGAAACCAGCCTGAGCAAGAGTGAGACCATGTCTTCTACTATAAATAGAAAGAAATTAATTGGCCGACTAATATATATAGAAAAATTAGCCAGGCAGGGTGGTGCATGCCTGTAGTCCAGCTACGTAGGACGGCGAGCAGTAGGATCAGTGAGCCAGGTTTGAGGTTGTATGAGCTAGTGACACCATGGCACTCTCACTCTAGCCTAGGCAACAAGCAAGACTCTTGTCTCAAAAAATAAAAAATAAGTATTAAGTGGTGGTGTAAACTGAGAAATGATAACTTACCAGTCTCTGAAGATGATATGAGAGCATGGAGGTTCCTTGCAGCAAAGGAAAGATGAAACCAAGCATTTCCTGGAGACCTAGTGCACAACACATGCATTAAAACCTGTTTTTAAAAAAGCCTTTATAAAACTGACAAGTGTGGCCAGTGCAGTGGCTCACACCTGTAATCCTAGCACTCTGAGAGGCCGAGGCGGGCAGATGCTCAAGTCATGAGTTCGAGACCACCTAGGCAAGAGCGAGACCCCATCTCTACTAAAACAGGAAGAAATAAATTGGCAACTAAAATATTAATCACATGGGAAAACATACCGTGATAATCTATTATGCAGTTCCTAGTACACATTAAATACGCTATAAAAAGCTTATTTTAACTACACATCTATTTTAAAAAGCAACGTTAAAGTGCATCTCT